TTTATGCTCCACTATCATGATGATTATGTATAAAACATAACACTTATGCTCCCACTAGCTTCGACATGTATTCATAAACATCTTAACTTTCAGAAAAACAATACTTATTGAATTTCATAAGTCCATGTTTTTAATACTTAGTGCTTTGATAATCTTTTATCAAGACTTCTTGAACTTATACACTTTTGCCTTAGATAGTTCATATGTGTGTCTTAACAATTAAGACTAATTGCCAAACCTCACAATTCAAATTATGGAAAGGGATGCCGTAACCATGATCGAATTCGAGAATGCAATTTTACAATCCTATCTTTTAAAATCTTTCTTAGTGAAAGCATTTTCTCACAATCATTTTCATGAAGGAGGAAATCTTATGACACTTAGATTAAACGGTGTATGTGTTCCTATCCATGTGAATTTTTAAAACAAAGTTTACGACAAATTCAAACTCATATGGATCGAACTTTCTTAATCTTGATTTCTTGCCTTATGGTAGCACAGCTGCCACCACGTCTTCCAAGTAGTTAAGCATCTCACCTTTTCCTATCAATGTACCTTTCATTGATCAAGGTCCTTGCCTTTTATGCATTCAAATGAGAACTCATAGGACTCACATGCATAATTAACTCGATTGGATTGGCAGAAACAAAATAATGTCTTTACGATAGGTTGTAAACCTCAACTCGTGTGCTAGTGATGATCGATAAGGCTTATTTGATTTGTTCTTGAAACTTTCGAGACCATTTGTTCTTGAAACTTTTCGAGACCATTAACTCCCACTGACTCCTTGACATATAAGATTCTTTTGTCAATAAACATTTCTTGACAAACAAATTTTCAAGAGTTAGTGTAGCTTTATCAAAACACTTCATAAATTGGTCCTAGTTGGTCTTTGTCTTATCCAAGACATCACAACTTTCCACATTTGATGAATGTTATAAACCTTTAATACTTTTCACTCATTGTCACAATCTTAACTTTAAGACTTGTTATTGGAACGAAGTATGATTGACTTCTTGATTTAACCATTTCTTCAATCTTTGATTCCTCTTCTTACATACAATTGTACTAAGACTCACTTAGAGGATCAATTGAGATATGGTTCTTAATCATTAAGACCTATCATAAAGCATAAAAGCTACTCTCCCTTCTTCTTAGAATGGAGAAACTTTATCTTTCTGCCTACTTGATTCTTCTTATTCGTTTTGCTATTGATTAAACCTTTAATCAATTCAAATTACACTTAATCTTGTAAGTATAATCATATTTACTAAACCTTTAGTAAATCATGACGAATATCTTTGTTACTCTTATGGTGAACTTGATCA